AATTTGCTCAAGTCAAAATGTTTAATTCATTTCCTTGAAACAAAACCAGCTTGGATTCATTCTATACCTCTGACTAGTTGCCTTCTTGAACAGAAAAGGGACAGAATTCTTTTTCATGTGTCTGCATTAGCAGTTCACGGCAATGGAAAGCAAATCCCAAACTTTATTAGAAGATACTTTATCTTAACCACAAGCAGAACTTTCCACTTCACAGAGACGAGTTCCTCTTGCTGGCTGGCTACATGATTCACTAAAGCCAGGGAATAAACTAGTTTAGGCAAATGGGCTTTGGGCAGAAAAGCTTGTTTTAGCCAATTCTATCTGTAGCGGGCGCTGATTTTTTATGTTACGGGGCTTGCTAGTCATGAATTTACCTTTGATTCTTCCTTCAATCCATCACCTGCCAAGACCCACTGAGTTTTCTTCTGTCTCCGTTTTTCTGGTTCTGCAACCTCTATTGAGGTCTGCGACCACTAACCCCCTAACCGGTTTCCACCCCCAGATCCATCCTAGACACTGGTCTAGCAGTCTTAAAGTTTTCTTCATCAGCCTCTGACTTCCAAGCTCAAGACAAACTTTGTGAACGGTATTACAGACTGCCAATGCCTTCCCTATGGTACCAGCTCTGTTCGTTGTTGTTTTCCAAATACTTTCTGATTCAAGAAAATCGGACCACTCCTTCGTGTGATTTACTGTACCTTCCTCCTCATAATATTCTACCCGTTTCCAGGGGTCTTCCTCAGTGTCCTCTTCCTGAATCCTGTACTAACTGCTCCCTCCCCGTTCGAGCACTTACCGGACACTCTTTCCTTTTTCCCTGACGACAGATGGTAGGCCTCCCGGGGACAGAGACTATTTTCTCATTGTCGGATCCCCTGGCCGGCTAACTGGATGTATCAGTTGTATACCAGTTTAGACTTATTGAATTACAATAAATTATACTTCATTGTTAAAAATAAACGTGAAGGCAAGAAAGGTCATTCTTGGCTCAAGTGTTTGAAAAAAAATGATGGAGGCTCCAGTTCACTCCAAATACCGTCAGCCTCTTAGTAAGTTATCAACAGCCAGTAAATTACCAAGCCAGTGCACACAATTCAAAGCATTACACCCATGAGTCACGAGGGCAACTGGGCAGCTTGGGTACGGAACATTCATCAGAGAAGTCCCTGGAACAGCCACAAGAATGAGCAAATTAACCACAGTGTTGGATGTCACAGCTGGACCAACAACCCGAAGCAGGTTGCTAAGCTTTGCACGTGGCTCCCGTATGTGAATGACACAGGCAAGGGTACAGCTGCGGAGCATCAGCCACACCCAACAGTCTCCGACGAAAGGGGTGCAAGCACATTCTCTATGGGGGGTGCAAGAGGGTGGTGTATGCAATGTGCGTGTTGTTAACATGCTGTCGGTAAAAGCATAAAAGCACAAATAGGCACACCGGATCACACGCAAAACCAGGGGGTTGTTCTTATTTTAAACTGCATTTTAGAGAAAGCTCTTAAGATAGTTGACATTCTAACATAAATCTACGAAACCATTTGTTACTTTACATTAAAGTCTTAAGTGTTCAAAGAGGAGTAAAAGCTATTACTTTTTTTTTTGAAGGGGTGGTTCTTGCTTGTATGTGGTATTCACATGTCTATGTGGAAGCTAGAAGTTTGCATTTCTTCTCCAGTTGCTCTCCATCACCAAAACGGGACATTAAGACAGGATCTCTCTTGCTGAACCCAGAGCTCACCAGTTCTAGTCTGGCTAGTTGCCTGCTCCTGCTGTTTCCTGTCTCTGCCCTTTAAGTGCTGGGATTATAGGCAGGCTGCCACAGCGGCTTGACTTTTACACCAGTGTCAGGGACCCACTCTGGTCCCTGAACTATCTCCCCAGCTCTGACGTGTGTGTGTGTGTGTGTGTGTGTGTGTGTGTCTGTATATGTGTGAAAAGGGTCAGTCAAAAATAAATTGCATTCAGTTAAGATGTTCCTAATGGTAATTATATTAAGTCTTTTGAAATATGGTTTCAAAGAAGGGAGTATCATTACTAAAAAACTTCAAGGAAAGGCTCAGGAGCAGACATAAAGATAGAATGTCAGAGAATCTTACTTGATGGGCAACGGCGATGCTTAATAGGAATGATACATGAAAAGAAAGCACATGTTATTTCTAGGTTCTGTTGCAGCTGTGCAAGAGAACAGAATATGGGAAACAATTGGCCTATGGAAGGCGTGAAGATGGACAGGAAAGGACATTGCAGATAGAGGGAAAATAGTTAGATCATGCAGTAGTGACATTAATGTCCCCCGAAGAGTGATGGAGATTATCGAGGTTAAACAGTGACTGAACACATTCAAATGTGATGACAAGGTCCTGGGAAATCTCCACAGCACTCAAATGAGCCAATAATACTTGAGGTTTTACCTACTGTAGGGAAAGACCTTAGGTTTACTATGCCATTAAATTCTAATCCCAGCCCTGACAGATCAATACTGTCAAACCTATTGTTAAGAATTAAAAGCTAAAGTTAGAGAAGGTAAATGGCAGATCAAAGATCTCATCTCTGCTAACAAAGCTGGGGGCAGAACTCTGGCAGACTCCATTCATTCATTCATTCATTCACTCATTCCCTCAGGACATATTTACTGCCTTGGCCCTACTGACCTAGAAGTACCTAGTGAAGGAAACAAAGTTCTCAACCTCTGTTTACCATCTGATAAGAAAGAAAGCCAATTAACTAAAGTAGCCGGCATCTAATTTTGAGAGTTGATGAGTAGTGTAAGCCAAGTGGCCATGGAGAATGAACGGACTAGAACTCGGCATTACAAATCAGATGCCAAGGGCAGAGAGGTCCCACTCAGTAGGAGATAAAGAACGGGAAGAACCCAGCAGTGCTAAGGGGGAGAAAGCAAGTGAAGGAGGCACGTACACAAGTCTTGAGATGCCCACACAGGCAGGAGCCATGGTGAGAAACATGCTATCAAAAGGGGGGCTGCAGCCGAGTCACAGAGCAAGGGCTGCTGCAAGTTACAAGTTTGTGCTATGTCAAGTTCAAGGGAAAGGCAGAGAATAACCTTACTTGGGCTTCTAAAGAATCACACGGGTCGCTCTGTGAATAGCAGGCAATAACAGAAATAGAGGGAGCAGCTGGCAAGCTTTTGCACGATTTCAGGAGAGACATGGCTGATGGAGAGAGACAATGGTGGTGGCGATAAAAAAAAACAGTTCTGAGAGTGATCAGACATGCCTTTGGTGGTGGCAACCAAAAGCCTCTCTTCTATGGACTGTATGTGATGTGATTTTTACCACGTGTTTTTAATAGAAATTAACTATGCTTACACCTGTGTCTTAAACCACGAATTTAAAAAAATGCATAGTACATACTGTCACACACAAACGCCTACTGGTGAGTCTTACCTTTGCTACTTTGTTGGGTTTAGATGATTCTGAGCCTTAGGTGTTATATGCACAGGTGAGACTTCTCTCACAGGGCAGTTGTGAGGACTGTTCTAGCAGTTCCAGAATACCAGGACAAGCTGGCATGCAGGAGAAAGACAACAAATGATGGACACTTTCCCCCTCCCCCTAGCCTCGTTCCCCCAACAGTGGCATTAGAACACACAGACCACTGGCGTACACAGATGAGCGCTGTGTTCAGATAACAGGAACACACTCAAGCTTCCTGAAGATCCTGGGACCAGAGCTAAAGAGCATTTACATGGCAGGTACAAGCTCTGTCACACCCATCTTCACACCTGGCTGGGAGGGTTGCCAGATAAAATAGGGGATGCCCAGTTACATTTGGATTTCCAATAAGAAAAAAAAGATAAGTCTGTGTTTGACAACAATTTATTCTAAAGTTTTTAATTATGTATCTGCAATTCAGACTTAAACTAAGTAGACTGTATTTTGAGCTGTTGAATCTGGCAATCTTATGACTCAGGCTCCAGTAGGAACAAACCGTCCTATGACTCTCCCTTCATAGCCCCCATGAGACGCTGATGCCTCTCTGAATAAGATGGATGTCTCTCACCATCCCAGAGCTGTTCCTCCCTTTCCACTTTTTTCTTTCCATATTTCATTCATCACGTCTCAGTCTAAATACAAAGTGTATGAATGTCAAAATCTAAGGAATGGCACTGTACTGGGAATTTTATCATACAGTCATAAAGAATGCTGGTTCATGCATGCATGGTTGTGGGTGGATATAGTGATGTGGGCACCCGCTGTGTTAACCTTTTAAAATAAAGATTACAGTAACAGCACATCAGGAATACCATTAAAGAGTTTTCTAGTCATAGTGAATTAAATTTGCATTCACATTCATGAAAGCTACTTAGATCCCACAGTAGTCGAAACAATTATTGAATAAACTGGAAGAGAAAGCTTTGAATTCACTCAATAATCACTGTCTATCAAAAGCTAAGAGCTGAAAATCCTTCACTTGAAAACTGCAACACATGGAAAGAGTTTAAAAGTGTAGGCCAGAGTTTTCTCTGCATACCCCTCTTGCATACACTCAACTGTTTCGATTTCTGTTTCACTATGGAGGGGAAAAAGTCATGGGAAGCACAAATTCAGTTATGGACTTGATTATGTCGGACGCAGCATCAGTATTTGCTACTGTTTCACAGATGATAAACATTCTTGTCCCAGAATGGAAGCACACAGGTCGTGCTACTTAATACACAGATTGTTTAGTAGTATAGTGTATTTTCATTCTGGTGCAAGTTTACTTATGTTTTGTGGATTGGAAACAAAATACTCATAGACTGGTGCTAGTCTGGGGGTCATGTTTTGACTACCACCAATGTAGGAGATCCCAGAAATTAACACTTCCTATCTTCAATATGAAGGACCTCCTCCTTCTGACCATTTCACTGAACAAGGGTCCTTTTTTTCCCTGAAACAAAGACACAGATAATTTCATCATCCCTAACAACCTCCCTGAGCCGAAGGATCTATAAAACCAGTAGCTGCCCCAAGTTTAGAAAGAAGACAAAGTGTGCTTACTCTTCTTGGCGTAAGTCATTGACGCTGCGATCCAGCGAGATCATGTCACTTGCCACCATGTTAAATCCGAACTCCTTAATGCTGGCTTGAACTGCTTGCTTGTATTCTGGTCCCAGAACCAATGGTTTGGCTTTCTCTCCAGGGCCACCAACCACTCCATGGGGCTCGGGTTCTTTGGGTTCAAAGTTACCGAGGACCCCCGGGCGTAGCACAGGATCATGGTAGGTGAAAGTCTGAGGCTTAAATGTGAGGAATTGCCTCTGTATTATGTCTTTCTGGGAATCTCCTCCAGCATGACGCTCCTGTTCATTTTTGGCCTTGTTTTTTCTTCTAATAGACTCTAAGTCCACTTCTACTCCTTCAACATGAGGCCATGGTACCACAGGCTTGAATCTGTCATCCCCAGGAGCTAATCCATTGCCTCCTCGGTTAGGCAGAGGGTTATTGACATCTCTGTCTTCCTATACAAGAGGGAGGGGATATACAATAAGTACATGAAGGCAATCCAACCACAGCAGAATTCATGACACAAACTTTCATGTTCAAGAAAAGGCTGACAATGACAAAACATTTTAAAATGTGAAGTGCAAACAGGATACCATTAATCAGAACGCTGCACTGAAAGACATCTTTCAGATTGGATCAAACAGGCTATTTTCTCACCTTATTATTTCAAAATAAATGAACACATTTTTACTTGTCTCTTCATAAATTTAACTCTCTAAAAGTTTTCGCAACGACTGAGACAGATACTTAATTGGTCTTACGGTACAGCCGTGGTTTTCACGTAGTTGACAGACGACAAATAGGACTTTCGTTAGCAATACAGCCGTATGGTAGCTATGATATCGGATGGATGTCACATATCAGCCAACTGGCTTTGTGTCCAAAACGGCAGAGGAGCAAGGTAAACGTATGCATTTGGTCCCAACTCAGCATTTTCTACTCACTCAGAGTTTGGCTGGATAACTACACAAACGAACCAAACAAATAACTATAACCAAGCCACCATGGCCTTTAAACTTCTCTCTGTACTTGACTTTGCCACATCCAGGTAATATGATAAAGACAATTAAGAATATTTGATGCTATCTCTTCAGTTTGGACCCTCTTCACCTACACAGATCTTTCAGCCAGAAACCCTCAGTGCTATTTATTGCTTCTGAGGTAGACTATGTTAACCTTTTGCCAAGTCACTGCTGTACTTTTCACAAAGCACCGTCTCAGGGGACCTTAAAGAATACTAAAGTGCCCGCTCTCGGGCACTGTGATTTAATTGGTCTGGGCATGCGGAGTTTTGAAAGCACCCCAGGTTGTAATATGCACCTAAGCCTGAAAGCTACTGAGAGCTACTAGCTTAAAGGCAGAGTATTAGCTGTAATTGGGCACAGGAGGTATAGAGCCGGCGCAGCTGGGTAACACAAGGCTCCCTGTGAACTGCAAGTAGGCCAACTTGTCTGCCCAGTCACTCCACGCTTCAATTACAACATTCCCTAGCAGGTCAATAACAGAGCTAGCTCAGCACCCCTTAAATGTTTAAATTACATGACCCCGAGATTTAAAGTTCAAGACTTCATTGTAAAGAATACATGAGAGCCCCGGGTATAACCGTATGTATAGGCTGCTACCTACTTGCAATTCACGAGACAGAAATTTCTGTAGTTATTCCACATGGGAATCTAGGTAAGGAATGACAAGAATTGACTTTACAGAATTCAACATGATTTATTTAAAAATTATCCATTTATTTGAGTAATATTATAGTACCCAATAAGCTACATATCCAAAAGGCACACAACGAGAAGCAAGATTCACTATCTTTCCTTCTGTAACGGAAATCACAGCTACCAACTGCTTATGAATTTCTCCAGAGATGCATATGAACACACATGTGTTTATAAAGCAAGTGATTTTAATATGGAATGTAGACATTAGTTATTCTACTAACAAGAGCCTGTAACATGTTACAGTGCTTTCAAGGATAAACTCAAAGAACGACAAGTACATAAATGTCAAGAACACAGCCGGGCGGTGGTGGTGCACGCCTTTAATCCCAGCACTCGGGAGGCAGAGGCAGGCGGATCTCTGTGAGTTCGAGGCCAGGCTAGACCAACAGCCTCCAAAACAATACAGAGAAACCCTGTCTCGTAAAACCAAAAAAAAAAAAAATGTCAAGAACACTAGCTTACACAGGGCTGCAATCAAATGTATTCTATTATACCCAATTTCCATTTCAGTGGACAAGAATCCTTTGTAAATAGTGTAAAATGGCCCAAAGAAAACAAAAGTGTACAAACTAGACCTGGGTGAAATACACTAGTCATTATTTGGGGTCACCTTAAAGTTTCACACAGGTGTCCCCAAGACATGAAATATAAGATGCCATATATCTTGATTGCATAAATGTGATGTCCTTCTTCCAGAAGATACGGCTTTTGGATCAGGTGTCTGAGCCCATGGCTGTGTAGAAGAGACTACGCTTAAATCTAACTTTGGAGTCCTATAATGCCAGAGGCAAACAACTGGAAAAAGAAAGGGCAATGCAAGGAGGCAGAAGAGGGGAACTGTGGGGATGGGTGGCAGCCAGAGGCTGGCAGGGGACATGGGGAGGGCAGTGGGAAAGGGGAACATGGGAAAACAAAGTATGAGCTCTCCCTTGCACACACACGCAGAAGCACAGAAAGATCTCTCCCTTGCACACACACACAGAAGCACAGAAAGATCTCTCCCTTGCACACACACGCAGAAGCACAGAAAGATCTCTCCCTTGCACACACACGCAGATGCACAGAAAGATCTCTCCCTTGCACACACACGCAGAAGCACAGAAAGATCTCTCCCTTGCACACACACGCAGATGCACAGAAAGATCTCTCCCTTGCACACACACGCAGATGCACAGAAAGATCTCTCCCTTGCACACACACGCAGATGCACAGAAATGCCACAATGAAACTCATTACTTTTACACACTAACTTAAAACAATAAAAGTAAGTAACTAGAAGATCACCTGGCCAAAAATGTTCATGAGGGATAGGGGAGTGCCTCAGGATCAGCCAATCATAAGAAGAATGCACCCCAAGTACCACTAAGTCTGCAACAGAGGGGCAAGTATTGAAGCCAACGTGTGGTTCAATGAGCGGAGTGCCACTTTCTCTAATCTGTTTCCTGGCTCTTTCCAAATGCATACAGTGTTGTAGATGAATCAAACAGAAATCATTAGAAAACACTGCAGGGTGTGAGAACAAAGTTATTGATAGTGAACCAAATTTAAGAAGAAGGCAGACTTCTCTCCCTTCCAATGTTCATATTATCAGTTGGTAGAAGCTGGGAAAGGAAATGGCATTGGATACGAATGAGTAGTCAGGAGAGACATGCCACACACTAACTTACTGTGGTAGTTTGAATGTAATTGGCCCCCACAATCTCATAGGGAGTGGTACTATTAGGAGGTGTGGCCATGTTGAAGGAAGTATGTCACTGTGAGGGTTGGTTTTGAGGTCTCCTATGCTCAAGATACCTCCCAGTTTCACAGACCACTTCCTGTTGCCTTCTGATGAAGATGTAGCCAGCACCATGTCTGCCTGTGGGCTGCCATGCTCCTCACCATGACAATAGACTGAACTTCTGAATTGTAGGCAAGTCACCCCAATTAGGTGTTTTCCTTATAAGAGCTGCTGTGGTCATAGTGTCTCTTCACAGCGATAGAAACCCTACATAAGGCACTTACCTAACCAGAATCAGAAGAATATGGACTAGAGGTGGAGTCTGACTTCATGTGTCCTCCACTAAAAGTTGTTTTGATCTTTTGATTTTTTTCTTTGACTTGGTTCTTTGTCAGATCAAAGCTGTTAGTGTTCTTTAGGGTTCTATAAGAAGTGTGTTCTGTCTTTGTCTCTGGTTACCTCACTTTCTTCCAAGCTCAGTGACCAGTTTTACATTGATGTTTCTTCTGTCCACTTCCCCAGGCCACACCGCACTTCTGATTTCCAGATAATGTACACAACTGTTTTCTGGACCTTTCCATTTATCGGCATTATCTCTAACAGAACCTGCCCTTTGCCTCACATAAGTTTCATTGCAGCCTTCCCTACCTCAGACCCTGGGATACCCACCCTCTATTGGACTGATGAAGTCCAAAGCTACGTTTCATGTCAACTTCTTGTTTTATTTTATCTGTTCTACTGACATCCAGTCCCTCATGATTTCCTGTCAATTCTGTCACCTGGGTAGCTACTGAATTTGACTGCTTCCATTATCCTCACTGTGATTTACTTAATTTTGGCCAATCCTCTTTAGGGAAGATTATTATGACAGGAGTACCAGTGATGACTGGATGATTGTGAACATTTGTGTTCCAAATGCTTCTCATACATGAGCTTGTGTAACCTCATGAATGAGGCATGGTCATCATCATACAGAAGGAGCTGACCAAATTATCTGGGACCAGATTCAGTGCCGAGCAGAATTACACTCTGCACTCTGACGGGCTGAAGAAGCTCTGTTCCTGAGCCTCATACCATGCTCATGCTTCCTCCTTCACGCTCTCACAGCCTCCCCTCATCATTTCTCCCTCACAAGGGTTAACTGTGGTCGCTTCTATTTTACCTGTGGTCGCAGTTCTCAGTAGACATTCTCTAACAGTACTGACAAGAATTATCTACACTCCAGGCTGCATTTAGATAATGTCTCTATTATTACCTAAGAAGCAGGGGCTAGGTAAGTTTATCTAAGAGTCACACTACTTTTTTTTCTTTTACTTTGCAAACTACAGGGTCTCTCTTCCAGCTATTCAAGTTATTGTAGTGTGAAAGCAGTCATAGGTACGTAAATACATGGGAATAATTACGCTCAATAACTTTATATGCAAAGACAGTTAGGAGGCTGGATTAGGTCCCTCAACCCCTGTACTTGACTGGAAGTTTGGTGAAGGGACAAAGGCTATGTCTACTATATCTTCAGTATCTGTCTTTGTATGGAATTCCTCAATAAAAATTTACTGAATAAATGAATCCTAAAATATGTGCTTTTGTAGTAAGAGACAGAGAAGAAAAGGAAAAGACAGAGAATGGAGGATATAGAATTGGAACCCACAGGCTGAGATCAGCAGGCTGACCTTTACTGGCAGTATCTTATGAATTCACTGGGGACATAACTATACTCTCTGCATGATAGTGTGCTCTAACGATATATAACAGTGCCAGAAAAATTGAATCTACTGGCTTCTCAAAGCCCGTATGTCATTAACTGTGAAGGTAGAACCAAATACTAAAATAGTCTGTCAAACCCCACATCAATTAGGAAAAATCATGTCAACTCTTAAGGTTAGATGATTCCGAGAGCTCAGGGCTTTAAAGCAGTGTAATTCTTAACTCCCTTGAGAAGCAAAGCTGTGCACTCCATCTTCCAGGGAGTAAATGAGAGGCAGAAGCCTCCATGACTCATGGTACTATAATAGTG